TCCCCGGGCGCTGACCCTAGAGGGCGCCAAAATAGATTGGAAAAAAATTAAGAGCTCATTTTAGCTACAGTTTTGCTTTATAAATATAAAAAAATATATGGGTGGGGGCAAATTGAAAGTTTGTCCCCGGGCGCCGGGAAGGGTCGCTACGCCTTTGCACAAACCTTGAAATTTGTTGACTGAATAGTTGTAAATTAATGTTAATCAGCACTACAACAGGCATAATTATTTCGTAAAGCAGTGGAGTGAAGAGAGGTGAATTTTAATTAGCCATAATATATTAAGCAAAACAGCTCTTTTTCTTGTCTAACTACGCACTCCATTATATACATCCCTTAGCGTTGTTAACTTTCAAATTAAATTTTATTATCAGTTCGTGCAGTATTTACTTATATTTTCACGTTAATAAAAACTTATTCTTTTTATCTTTAAAAACATTCTGACCGGACTGATTAATTTTTATCCGTGGGGCAGATTGAAGATGGCAACCGGTCGAATTCACTTCATAGTACTTAGATTCTGACGTCACTGAGCCTATAAACTATTTATAATTATATTAATGCCCAAAGGGAAATAACTTTTCTTTTTTATATATTTTTAAGTAATATTTGAAAAGCTTTGATTCAACATTGTATAAAGAATTTTCATCAAGACTGACAGAAAGTTGACAAGTTAAATTTAATTAATGAGTTTATCTAAGTCCAATCCGCTTTCTTCGAAAATGTGTTTAATTGAAAAATCTAATTAAATGACTTATCAGTTTAATTTTTTTTAAGCAGCAAAAATTATGAAAATGATTATTTTCAGAGTGAATGTCTTGAATGATAGACAGATTTCGTCTGTTAAGGTGAAGTTTTCGTGAGATAGATCTATGTAGATATTGAGGCGAGTACTATAGTTTCCCTAAAATTATGTGGTCTGTTTAAATCATTGTTGGTTGATCTTATTCTGCCGTCTTTTGTTAATTCCAAATTCTTTCGTCTGTATAAATCATTATTGGTTTGTTTGACAAGCTGCCGTGAAATGAAGCGTACTTTAATCATTCGTTTAAAATCGATTGACTTTATAGGTAATCTTATAGATTGTTCATTACGTCTGCGTAATGATTTTTTTCAATCACTAAAGGGTTAATTTGCTCATGGATAATTAGAGCATGTCAGACACATTGATTCTTTAACCCTAATTTGCCGCGCAACGGGTTAGTAAAAAAACTTTTTATGTTTTGATGTATTGGCTAGGAAGATTTTTAAATAAATAAATTGTTGTTTTTTTTTTGTGTGCCTTGTTTTGATGGAACCAATGACAATTCGAGATAGATGTCCATTGAATTTAAAAGTATGGTATCAAAATGTATTTTATATGAATTTTTTAAAATTCTATTTGACGAATTTTCAAGGCCAAAACTTCTTTTATCAATTATTTTGTTAGAATCGTTACCTTGATCAGTGCATAGATTATATAATTATATATATATATATATATATATATATATATATATATATATATATATATATATATATAGAGAGAGAGAGAGAGAGAGAGAGAGAGAGAGAGAGAGAGAGTGAGAGAGAGAGAGAGAGAGAGAGAGAGAGAGAGAGAGAGAGAGAGAGAGAGACAGAGAGCAGAGTTTCTTCCAGGCATCTCTTCGGGGGGGCTTTGCCCCGAAAAATTTTTACCGCCCCCCCCCCCCCGAACGAAATGAAATTTATATAATTTATATAGAGAATATATACTTTTAACAGTGTCCGCCCCCCCCCCCCCCCCGAAGAAAGTTTACCGCCCCCCCCCCCCCCCCGAAGATTTCAAGTGCCCCCCCGGAGAAAAAAGTCTGGAAGAAACACTGACAGAGAGAGAGAGAGAGAGAGAGAGACAGAGACAGAGAGAAAGAGAGAGTATTTGTAATGTTAATATATCCCCAGCTATTATTTTATTTTATTTTATTTTTATTTTTTTTATTTTTTTTATTTATTTTTTCTTTCTCTTTTATTATTTTAAAGTTGAAATGTAAGTCAGCACATTCATCATCTTTAAACCTTTTTGCCTTTTCCAACCTTCTAAAACCAAAACACAAAATTCTTGCCAAAGACAAAGGTCAGGGTGTGTCATCAATCTCCGCGTAATAACTGTTATTCTATTGGTTGTACTGGGGGGGGGGAGGGGGAGATAAGTCGCTATTCAACACCAGGATCTCTGCGGTCAATTCCACAGAGAAAACAACCCCCCTCCATTTAACACCCTAAACTGCTATTTTTTTCTCTTCCCACTTATCTTTCCACTGGCCTGGTAACTTTGACAGTTGTCTCCCTTAATGGAAATATATTATTTTTCTTCCATCGAGATTTTTTTCTTTTACTTATTTAAAGTCAGATTGAAGCGAGTATGTAGCAAAAGAAAACAAAACCCAAAAAACAACGCATGCATAAACTTATACCTTATAATTTAACCTACGGTAGAAAATGATGGTGTTTTATTCTACGATTCCTGAATTTAAATTGTGGATCGTGCAATCATATTACGCACGTTTCACGCTTTTCATGAAAATAGATGTGTTGTAAAGCGTTATTAAAAAATTAGAATTTTATAAAAAGACTGTTTTTATTGTCTTACATAGTTGGATTAATCGTAATCGATTACCAAACACATTGTAAAAACTTGAGAGATTACTTTTTCATCTAATTTTTCTAGAAGTATCAATAGTCCTTTGGTTTAAGTGATAAAATGACTAAATATTGAACAAACTTTTAAGACGAATAAAATAGAGTTGTGGGATTAGACAGATTACAGCAAGCGTAAAGCGCTGATCACGAATCTTGTACATAGAGATAGAGAGATCTAGTACAGGATGAGGTAGATATTTTTTTTAAAAGGATTTCTCGTTTTTTATTTTATTTTTTGTTGTTGTTTTTTTAATTAATTTTTGTCCCAACCTTAATGAAGACACTTTTATGTGCTAAAAGAAGTAAAAAGTGAGTAAAGTTACCCTCTCGGATCTGTCGATCTATGGAGCAGATGAAGTAAAGATCACATGTTTCTGTTACGTCGACTTACAAAGGGACAGTTGGGTCAACGCCAGGGGCGGAACTACCATACCGCCAGACCCCGCAATGCGGGGGGGCCCAGGCCGTTTAGGGGCCCAAAATCCGACCAAAAAGCAATGACTTTGTATTCCAAAATTACGTTTTCATGCACCTTAATTATGGTTTTGTAAAAAAAAAAACTACTACTGTAGTGATTTTCTACAGTAGCTAACACACGCTGTTGCATAAAAGAAAAAAAAATCTACATAAGCTTTAGTGTGCAAGATAAACAAACATTCAAACCACTTCCATTACTTATTTCCCTTTTTTAAATAGTCAAATAGAAGTGCCCATAAACTCCTTTTAATAGTTTTGTACTACGCAAATTGAAAAGCAAGTACTTCTCTTAATTATAATTTTTTTATAAAATACATACTAAAGAATGACATAGTATAAAAAGGAATTTAAAAAAATTAATATAAATTTAAAAAAAAGACATAAAAATAAACATAACACGAGAAACCATTACACATACAAAGCTTTCATGTTTCATATAGGCTACTTTTGACCGGCATGCGTATGGGAAGTAATACGGCCGACATCAAAATTGACACACAGATTTGAAAATCACATTAATGCACTTAAACACATGACATGTTGTTGTAATTTGTTAGCATTGAAAATAAAAGTATTATGTATTTTTTAAAACAATGTGTTTTTTAAAAACCAGATTAGGCCCGAAATGAGTATCCTACGTTCGTATTTTGTGTTTATATATATATATATATATATATATATATATATATATATATATATAGAGAGAGAGAGAGAGAGAGAGAGAGAGAGAGAGAGAGAGAGAGAGAGAGGAGAGAGAGAGAGAGAGAGAGAGAGAGAGAGAGAGAGAGGGCCTCAAAAAATATTTTGCGGGGTGGCCCTTTTTTTCTAGTTCCGCCACTGGTCAACGCTATTTAAAACTACATATGTTCGCGATTGTTAGCCAGGTACCAGTTAGAGCAGGGTGGACTTATGGACGTGCATTGGACTCCAGGCGAATTTGTTGGAATGTTTTGTTATTAAACAATTAGAATCCTTACATTTATTAACATATGTGAATATAGTTTCGGTCTTCCGGGTTCAAGTCGGTGGAACGTTCCTGCGTCCACTTAGTTCTGAATGGTACCTAAATTATGTTAAGGAAAGTTTAGGCGGCTGGTGATAGTGATAACCATATTATCCTTTCATATGCCGAGGTCAAGAAACATTAATTCTACTTCATCTGCCCAATTGATCGTACGATCTAAAGAGTAATATTTACTTTTTGGTTCGGACAGCTGTCTGGTTATAGAGATAGTAAAAGAGACACCGGTATTGTTTTTTCCACAGGTGTGAAGAGTACGTTATGTATAAAGCGCTGGAGTTAAGAGTAATGCAGGTGTTAATGTTTACAATCAACAATGTGATAATATTACGGTGCAGAACTATAGAATAGCAATTGAACGATTTAGCTAAGACGGCTTAACCACGCATAATCTCACCACCACTCCACTTCCCCTACCCTCAAACAGGCCCTGAGATGCACATGTAAAGGAAACACGGCGGAAACCAGATGTTTATAGGTCGGTAGCAAGGGTGTGAGAAATACTCGACTCTTTATACTGTGTGTTGTCTGTATACTTTAGGATAAACTTTCGAGCCGGTTATATCAGTATTAGAAATAGATAAAGTGAGAGAGAGAGAGAGAGAGAGAGGCAGAGAGAGAGAGAGAGTGTGAGAGAGAGAGAGAGAGAGAGAGAGAGAGAGAGAGAGAGAGAGAGAGAGAGAGAGAGTCATTTGACAATATGAATACGTTTTCTTTAAACTACCATTACATTAAAAATTAAAATCCTGCAATAAATGTATTTAATTTGGTCCTTTTAATACCTGAAAATGCATGATTTGAACACTACACAAACGACTACATTGGACCAAAGGGGAAATAATTACCTCGGAGTTACTGTCCTTGTCCTTCAGCAGAAGTGAACACCGCTCACACTTGAGCAGGCTCTGGGCTCGCTGCATGATCTTCACGACCACCTGGTCAACTGACGTTTGCTCTGTGAACAGGTCGTGGACCACTTCCAGAAGTGCCTGAAATAAACGGAAAATGTCGTTTGTGAACAAATAAATGATTAAATCATTCGAGCCGACCCGCGGCGTATCATACGCCGCTAATTAGTTGTTTTATTTTCTAATTTTCAGTAATTCATAATTTGTGAATTCGACAGTACCAATGCTGCCACTGAAAATATTTGCTTTAAAAATACTACCCCCCCTCCCCTCCCTCCCCTCCCCCCCCCCCACCGTGAAAGCAGCCTCCTCTTAGTTACCTCCTCTAAGTTTAAAATCGTTTCAAACTAAATTATCTGCCCTTAATAGCCGTCACTAAACCCGTCTCTACGCTTGTAAAAATATAGCGTGAACCACAGCTCACCAGACCATGCGGGTATGGGGGGGGGGGGGGTAATAGAGATATGCCTATAGAGGAATGGACGGGACTGCTAGGCGTGCTGACAGCTTGTTTTCTAGCGTCTCCCACAAGAGAATTATATATATATAGATAGATGTTACCAAGATAACTAAAGAGGCTCTAGATGAAATTGTAATTGAACATTAAACGATAGTAGTATTTCTTAAAATCTTAAGGAAAAGAACATTTTTTTTTAGATCCTTGCAAGTATAAACTTTGGTATATTATGATACAGACTAAAGTAGTTACATTGATTTGAGGGAAATAAAATGTTCTTGTTTAATATAACAAGTGTTCATCAATGTTATTATCATCAAGGTTTATTATGATACAGACTAAAGTAGTTACATTGATTTGAAGGAAATAAAATGTTCATGTTTCGTATAACAAATACTCATCATTGTTTTATACAACCAACAGTATATTTCCAAATTTTCTCATGCATTAAGACCTTATCTGTCACACACTACATAGAAAAATTACTAGCTCTTAATTTCTGTTCTAGAGACTAAGACCATATGGAGAAAGTTTTCAGGGTAACTTAGGTGTTAGTTAGGAAAAGAACAATTTAACTTTGAAATTAAGCCAAAAAACTGGTGTTTAAATCTATATTAGCGTTTATTTATGACCTTTTTTCCTTAAATATACTGGACTTAATATTAAATAGCTGTTTTACATTTAGATTATTCAACTAACTCGATAAAATAAAGGATTGTTTTCTTCTTTTAATTTGTGCATTTAAAAGCTTGTAATTACTAAGTTTCTTTAAATATGCGTTTTTAAATGTGTTTGTATCTTTTAATTGCAATTATATAATCGATAAGTTTTAAAGCAATTAGTATCATTTCCTTCCCTTTCTGATTGTTGCTCTTTACGGGAATAACCGCCCCTTAATTTTTTTTTCAACCTGCAAAAATGAAAATAAATCTTTCCATTAGAAACAGGTCAAAATTCAGTTGCTTAGTCAAAAATTGTAAAATCACCTTATTTCAGAAATTCAAGTTATTAAAATTATAATGTTTCCAAAATATCGATTGAAGGCTTAAGTGGTATTAAACTGGATTGTGTTCTATTGGCATTGTTATCTCTTTAATCATTGCCATGATTCGACTTTTTATTCTGTAATTTCAAATTTTTGTTGACATTTTGTTTTTTCTAAAGGCAATCGATTTTAATATAATCATGTTGATTTTAATCGTGCATTTATTGATATTTTTTACACTAACTAAAAACATAGAGGTTATGTTAACATTATCTTTTAAGGGTAATAATGTGAGTATACAATTATTAGCTTAGAAGCCGTCTAAAGAAGGTTGCAGTGTTTCTTTCAGACTTTCTCTCCGATGGCGGAGGGGGGGGGACACTGGTAAAAGTATATATTTTCTATATAAATTATATTTCTTTAGAGGGGAGGGGGAGGCGGTAGACGTTATGCGAGGGGGGGGGGGGGGGTGAGCGGAAAGAGGGCAGCGCCCCCCCCCCCAGAAGAGATGCCTGAAAGAAACTCTGTAGGGTCCACAAACTCCATCAAAATCGTTTCGCCTTCTTTCAACTCCTCTAATAGTGTCAAACTCCTCTACACTAATACACGATGTCTTCATAAATGACACTTGATGAATCCTCTTTAGTGAATGACTCTTCTAAACCAATTGAACCACATTTAAACTTCATGTGATTGATCTTATGGTTATAATTTAGGACTCTTCTACCTATGGGAGGCTGTTCTATTTGGTGACTCCCCTAAACAGTAGTCGTCGGTAAATTCAACTTCACTGTCTGTTTTTAAACTTACTCGAATGGCTCTCTAGTTCAACACTGAACATACTTGTTGCATTGAAGTGCCGACATATTTTAATTTACTAAAAGCTCTTACGCATACACATACACATACATACATACATACACACACACACACTAAACATGACGCGACGATAATGAAGTGTCAAACTCTAAATCGGAAAGCTGTCAGAAAACTTTATTCCGTTTTTTTTTTCTGCAAACACCATCACGTCGATGACGTAATACTTCTGCACTAGTTGCAAATTTTTTTTACCGAATTTTGCAGATTCGCAAGTTTCTAATTTAGTTTTTTGTTGTGATTTAAGCCTGCTGTAATGTTATTGAATGTCAGCGTCTCGCTTCCAACCCCCCCCCCCCCCCACACACACACACGGTCCTCGTATGTTGTTACAGCCTGTCTGACCGCGTAATGTTTATGGTGGGTTTCTAATTTTAAACGAAGCTTCCGTAGTTGTCCGTGGAGATAAGGTCACGCGGCAGATGTAACACGTGATCACATTTAAGCACGTGGGCAAGATGGCGCTGAGAGTGAAAGGAGACGTGTAGTGCACAGAGTCGTAGCTAGGGGAGGGAGGGTGTTGCGGCCTCCCAGGGCGCCGATCCAAGGGGGCGCCAAACGGGGAAATAGAAATATTTTTTAAAAAGCTCATTCTGAGTTGCATTACTGAATTATAAACAGTCGAAGTTAGTAGTTACCGACTTATTTAACTTTTTTTATATCGTAAGTTTGTTTGTTTGGTTTGGTTAGTTTGTTTGGTGTTTTGTTTGTTCGGTGTATTCGTTTGTTGGTTTTTGGTGTTTTGAACACACGTTTCTATATTCGCACCGACTTGTCTAGCCTCTTCATACTCGATCTAATTACTACTATCAGAAGATTTCCTATTTTTTCATAAAGCTGTTTTTGTGTATTCTAATGTTATTGTACATTTCCCTTCATCCATATAATTCATGACTTTTAATTTTCATGGATAATATGTGAATAAATTTTGTAAAAAAAAAATAGTCAAACATTTGTTACGAGAAAAATGGCCCGTTGAGGAAGGATACAACGGGCGCTAGGCTGATAGTGCTGTCTCTTTTCTCTAAACTAAAACCATCCCCCCCCCCCCACACTGGTGTCGCGCTTAGCCACTACCCGAAGAATTGCATTAAAGAAATTGCAAGAAAACCACTTTTTAGATTAGACACATTAATTAGGCGGTAATTTTATTATAGAGTATCGATGAAAAAATTTCTTTTGAGTTGGGGAGGGGGGGGGGGGGGGCTCAGACGTTCTTAAGCTTGGATGGGGCTTCGCCCCTACCCGAAGAATTGTATGCAAGAAACTCTTCACAGCAAACCATTTAGATTAGACAAAATTGCCTTTTTATTCAATGTTTACTCGAGATACATAGATACATAGATAGATAGATACACAGATAGATAGATAGATAGATACACAGACAGCGAATTTATTATTATAGATGTATCTTTAAAATTTTCAAACCCATTGTTCAAAGAATTTTTTTAAAAGTATATAATACATTAATAACAAAGTGATAATGACTTTCACATAACTTTTACCTCAGTTAGTCGTTCTTTTGTTGTTCCAAAACTATTTCAACCTACAATGATACACCAAATACTTACACTAAAACTATTTTTCGTAGCACTTACACACTAATGAATACTGTATAGCATATACCTTTTACCTACTCCTACATAACATAAGAAATATGAATATTTTTGTCGAGCCAATCAGTTATATTTGATTTTATATATATATATATATATATAATATAATTTAATATATATATATATATATATATATATATATATATATATATATATATATATATATATATATATATATATATATATATATATATATATGTATATATATATTTACATTGTATCTATATAGAGAGATAGAGAAAGAGAGAGAGATAGGAGAGAGAGAAACAGAGTAAGAGAATATTGTTCAGGCGCAAAATGCACCATTCTATTCCGTTTTACCTCAGGCAGAAATCGATCGCTTCCATTTCAATCCCCCCGCCCACATCCTTATCACGGCTATTTAAGCGCATGATTCGACCAGCCTACCTACAGCTTAACCCCACACGTTCCTCAGTATCAGCCGTTTCCCATCAACCTTACACTAATGTCTATTTTTAACTCGGGGCTCCTGCGAATTGAGGAATTTCCCACCACGCCCAATTAAAGGAAAATAATCTACAAGTTTGGGAATTGTTATCGCCCCTGGTAAAAAGGGACATAACTGGGCTTCGACTCCGCATCCTGCAAGAAAGTTCAATTAGAAGTATAAATGCCGAATAGAAAACGTCAAGGTGGCCTCGTTAACAAACGCCAATTGATTTAGGCAATCGAATATGACAAGAAGTAAGAGCTGATCAATTCGATTTCATAACAACTGATCCATTTCTTGTTATTCAAACTATTTGCACCGTAAATAAATATAAAAGCCATTTTCTTTTTAATAAATGAAATCTTTTTCTATATAATTTAGATAGTTTCTTACTTGGGTTGAAATATTCAATTATTTTAAAAAAGAAAAAGCACTTAAAGCAAAGAAGACAGTTGTTCGTGGTAAACATGACAAAAGAAACCGCAAAATAAGGACATCTGTACATTTTTGTTGTCCAAAAACCCTTAAGCTGCCCAGGGCTCCCAAATATCCTCCCAAGAGTGTGAACAAGAGTAACATACTTGATTAGTATGCATTGATTAAGTACCCTCTGACCACTGAGTCTGCCATGAAAAAAATTAAAGACAACAATACTCTTGTATTTATTGTCGACAAGCGTGCTAACAAGCCCATGAT